TGTTGCCCACTAGTTGCCATCTCCACACATTCATCTATCACAAGATTCGTAAGTGGGTCAAATCCCCGCAATATTCCTTGGACATGTCTGCCACCATTTAATTTTTTTTTTTGAGAGATTTTCACTGTAGGGCGCGTGCGCTCGCCAGACAGAGAGAGACATAGAGACAGAAAGCGAGAAATCACCCCCCAGGGGGGATGGTCACGCCGCAATCCCTTCTCCTCCATTCTCCTCTCGGGATCTTGGGCACACACGCACACGCGCCCGGCGTGAGTTTTAAGCCACCGGGTCCGGGACACGAACCGCGGTCGACTACGTGGGAGTCCAGCGACATAGCCATTACACTAACTGCTGGTTCCCGCCAATTTTCATTCTTGATAGTATTCCTACAATACATCAAACTACTAAGACATTTAGTTAAAGATATGGAGTCCAAACTGCTCTAACGAGTAAAATATTTCTATTAATTTGGGAATCAAATTATTATTTTATTTAACTAGCTATTCTTAATGTTGATCAAAGAACATCGGATCATTTTTAAATAAGTCAAACGTGCCTCTGACTACTCACCTTAGATCAAACTCCTTAGAGATACCCATGAGAGAAGCAGCTCGATAAAATATGATTCCTGTCACTGGGAGTTTTGATTAGGGACTTCTCGATGAAAATTTCAGTTACTCTCTTTGCCTATGATGTGATATTGGTCTTGATCACCAGTCACCTTTGCCTCTCATGTGCTAATTTTAGTCATTCTGGAATAGAACAGTCTCTCGCTTTCAGGTGCTCTCCACAGAGGCTCCTTAAAATCAATTTTGAGTGTGCTTTGTAGCCTATATTTTAACTCAGACAATTATGAGGGGACTTCAAAAAGTCCCTTTGGAAAAATGAAATTAAAGTAGAAATTTATTTTGGTGACAAAATGTTTTGTAATCTATGCATTGTTTTTTCATGATATGTACTTTCAGTGAACTTGTTGAAGCCCTCTCATAGCTCTCTTTTCCTAAAGTCAGATATGTGGTGAAAATTCATGCAACTGAAGGAATTTCAAGCAATGTATATATGAATTGAGCACAATGAAATTGTTTTTATGTTATTATGTTGAAGTAAGACAATGCTTAGAAAATCAAACGCAGGACTATATATGTATATCTTATTTTGCTGCTATACTCAAATACTTTTTCCTTACAAGGGGGAAGCAGGCCAGGTGGGACCTACAGGCCCTAGAGGACCAGTGGGAATTGGAGTACAAGGTCCAAAGGTGAGTCAATTGTACTGTTCAGAAGCAATGAGATAATGTACATAATATTATGTAAGGCTTCTTTTCTATCCTAGTGTAATGCAGATCATGCATGTGTCATCTTAGTATGTATAATCTATTTCTTTTGACTTGTTAAATGTGGCTACTAAAAAAGTTATAATTACACGTTTGTCTTGCTTTATATTTTATTGGACAGTGTTGCTCTAAAATACATACTGTGCTGGGGCAAGGGGCTTCATTATGATTGATTACCTGGTTTGGGGAATATGGCAAATACTTAGTAAATACTGTTGAATGAATAATGAATTTTTAGCTCCTTCTTGACAATCTTTACAACTCATCCTGAGTAGGATCTGGTGAGTCATACTGAGCACTAAACTTCACAATTGTTCTGCTGTCATTGTCACTATTCTTAAAAGCTTTTGAGTATTAGAAAAAAATGTAAGATGGGGACCAGGCAGTGGCATAGGAGTAGACCAACTGGACCCACATGGGAAAGATCTTGAGTTTGCATTCTGGGATCTTTCCAAGCATTCTGGGTATGTGTGTGCCTAAGGTCTGAGTCAGCTGAAATTGGGCAGTGGATTGTGGTATAAAGACCTTCTTGGAGTGCCTGTCATTCTGTTTCTGTCTCAATCTCTTGCTCGTGGATGAAATAAATAAACTTTTAAAAAGTAAAAAAAAAAAAAAAAAAAAAAAAGGAACATATAAGATATAGGCCTAAGAAGAATATATATATATAGCATATATAATATAATAACAGAGGACAAAATGAATTAATATAGTAATAATGAAAGCCATTTTTGTACAGTTTCAATGTGTAATACAAAATACCAAGAATAACATATGTAAATATACACATACATAGTATATACATGTGTATTTGTATATACATACATTATGTCATATATATGTCAATTTTGGAGAGGCAATATACAATATAGTAGGACTCAGCAGTTCACTGCCTAAATCCACATTTCAGTTTTGCCACTTACTAGATAAGCATACTTAAGCTTCTCTCATTTTATAAACTGAAATATTTCAAATATACTCACCAGGATAAAGAATATTATAAAGATACCCATTTACTCACAGTCCAGCTATATTGACTATAATTTTTTTTTTGGTTTGTTTAAATTTTTTTTTTCTTTCTTTCTTTCTTTTTTGTTTTTTTCCTTTTTTTTGCCATTGGGTGAATTTAATTCGAGAGAGACACAGAGAGAGGGATAGTGAGAAATCATCCCTCAGTAAGGGTAGCCATACTACAATCCTTTCTACTCTCAGGATTTTGGGCATGCATGCACATGTGTCTGGTGTGTTTTTCAAGCTGTAGGGTCCAGGACTCTAACTGTAGAGTTGGTCACTTCAGATTCAGTAGTTTAACCATCACACCAACTGGTGACCCCAGCTATAGATTTTTTTTCTTTTAAAGAAATATTATAGATAAGACTAGAGGTCTCTGCTTGTCCTCCCCAATCTCATTATTCTTTCTTTCCTCTCCACACATAGCCATTCTTACAAATTTGATGTTTATCATTCCCTTCAAAGATTTCATAATTTACACATTTTGTATCCATAAGCCATAAATTACTTTTTCTATGTTCTTGAACTGTATGTAATGTATCATTCTATAGTATATTTATACTCAATCTTATTTAAAAAAAATTTTTTTTAGAGAGATTTTTGCTATAGGGTGCATGTACTTGCTGGAGAGACAGAGAAGCAGAACGTGAAAGATCATCCCCCAAGGGGTATGGCTACGTTACAATCTCTTCTCCTCCATTCTCCTAAGGATTTTGAACATGCACACAAATGTGCCCAGCATGAGTTTCAAGCTGCCAGTCTGGGACTCAAACCATAGTCGGCCATGTGGGAGTCCAGTAATGTAACCGCTATACCATCTGCTGGTCCTATCTGTCTTGTTTTATTTGCCTCCAGGATATTCATTTTAATTGCTTTGTAGTATTCCATAGCATGAACATATCTCATTTTATTTTTATCCATTTTCTTGTTGATGGATATTTAAATTGCTTTACATTTTTTGCTTTTGCCAACAATGCAGCTATTAATATTGTGTATTTTCTTTGGGATAAGTCAGAATATAGGTTTTTTTAACTTGTAGAAAATAAATAGTTAGAGGTAGAACTGGAAGATCAGAGACTTTGTCTTCAATTTTAATACGACAAGACTCCTGTCAAAAATTATGCCAATTTGCCCTCCTGCTAGTAATAAGTAGCAGTGTTCTTTACATCCTTGCAAATATCAAGTGTTTAAAAATATGTCTCATTGTTTTAATTTGTACTTTCTGATAACTATGTGAACAGTTTTCTACCTGCTTAATGGACTTTCATCTTTTTCATTTGTAAATTCTTGTAGAGATTCTTTTTTTTTTTTTTTTTTTTTGAGGTTGGGTATTCCATATAATTAACTAATTGCAGTTCCTATATATTTGGATGTTAATCCTTTGCTATATGGGTTGTGAATATCTTCTCCCAGGCTGTGTCTTGTGGGATCCAGCTTTCTCTGCACAGCATCTAACCACTATACTATGGGGTCAGTCCTCCATTTATTCTGATGTCATTTTTTATAATTTCTATTTTTCTTGATGATTATTCATTTATTAATATCTTCCAATGTTTGAAAGTGTGACAGAAAATTTCAATGATGTTTAAGACATCATTACTGTTATTTCTTGCTTTTATTCTTTTTTTCCCTTTTCTTTAAATTTATTTTTTACATTAGTTCACTATACATCATTACAGCATACAAAATAAATTTTCCATCCAGAATACACTGTATATTGGCTCAATCAAGCACATCAACATACATGTTATCAACCAATAATTTTCCATTTCAGATGTCTTGTGTATATATATATATATATATATATATATGTATGTATTTTTTTTTTTTTTTCATCTTTTATTC